ATGTGGGTGTGGGTGTGGGTGTGGGTGTGGGTGTGGGTGTGAGGGTGTGGGTGTGGGGTGTGAGGAAGAGAATGATCTCCACACCCACACCCCACACCCACCCACACCCACACCCGAGCTGGTTACAACCACACCCCACACCCACACTCCAATACAAAAAGAACTTTTTCCTAAAGAAATCTGACACAACGATGACTTCATTCCGAATATAATATTTTATTATACTGATCATTTATTGATTTCTTTGAAATTTGATATTTTTAAAAAGTGATCTATTTTTTATGCTAAATATTCACATATCATAAGATTAGATCACTTTTGTTTGGTTTTGCTCAGCAGGAGGGTTAGAGATGGGCAATTTCAATCCCAAAAAACAGCCGACATTACCATCTTTAAGGAGAAAACAACAGAAGAGAAAATGTCTCGAAGGTAAAAACAGAATTTAGGAGAAAAACGTTCATGCGAATAAAGCAAACACATCAATCGGATGGATAGAAGAATAAGAAAATATAAGCGAGCAACGGTGGGCCCCGCTCGTGACATGGAAGACTTAATCATAGTCACATTGCTATTCGGTTTTTCACAACACATTTCGATGTGCTTGTCCTTTCTATCACTATCTGAAATAGGCAGCAATGCCGGTTATTCTGAGTTAGACATCCGAAGACAAACTGCGTCAAATTCAATCTCCTGATGATACAGAGTTTATGAGACTCAAAATCGAGAGTGGCTGATAGGCAATAGGTAAACAGTTCTTATAAACTATTTCTGTGTGATTGGTGCTAAGATATCATAATCAAATGTGCATTCAAAGTAACGTTCTTTCCCATTATGTACGATAATTATTACTTGAAAAAGATTTATTACATCAAATTAAAGAATAATGAATTTAGTGAATATCGCGGGACATCTTCTTTATTTAACGGAAACAAAGTTTTGTGACGAAGATTCAGCAACAAATGCTGGCGAAAATTTTGATTTGTGGTTTTATAATCATTTAAAGACAGCCACTTTAGTGAGCCCTATGTTTATCAAACTCTTGAATTTGATAACGAATATGACGAAGCACTAATAACCTATCGGTTTTGATAAAATATTGTCAGCAGTTTCTCCAGTTCGGTATCAGTAAATTTCCAGAAGAACCTGAATCTAGTGTAGTCTTAATGTGCTTGATGAATTTCAGCAAGATCCTGAAAACTCAATCTCTCAAAAAATTAATTATTGTATAAAAAATTGGATGCGAACATTTCTCATATTACTATGTGCCTATACGAGACTGAATATCTTAAAAATCGAATACCGCAGTCGACACTCGCTATGAGCAACTTATATTTTAAATTTGTTAATTTGACGATACGAGAGTGTGTTACAGTACAAAAGGTTTCATTGTTTGTTATGTCAATGAAAAAACTCGGGTAATGGTTTTGTTTGCCGAATACGCATAACTTTATTTCGCATCTAAGAAGTTTCATATTGTCATGTATGTTAACATTGGTATTCCATATACTTAAACGACAATGTTCAGTCATATACCAATAGAAAGAGAAGGGTAGTTTCGCACGATCTCGTCTGCTGCATAAAGTAAGCACGAGGATAAAGATGTTGATAACACTTTCATCTACTAACGCCCACCTCTCGTTCACTCTTACTTTCAAAATTTTCAACCAAGATTTTTTGATCCAGTCTTATGATTTTTTCGACAAAGTTATCTTTCTGGGCGTATTAGGAACCACGATTCTTAATTTTACTAGACGAAATTATCGTGTATTTTGGCTGCTAAGCATAAAAATTCAGTATATTCTATCAACAGATGAAATAGAACTGAACAATCCTAACAAAGCCTATTTGACGAATTCGCACAGCAATTATCGAAATGTGGACCAAGCATATTCAATGCACCAATGACGTCATACCCTGGATCTCTTACCACAGATAGATTTCGTCAAGTTCTTTCATCTTTCGTACTTTTCCGCGTCTCAAAGCCGAGATTTTATTTTGTAGTCCTGTGAGAACAATAACAATCGTTTTTTTCTTGTTCGTTGTAGATGACTGCTTTTACATGTTCTCTTTCTTTCTCTGCATAACGACACTTTCGATAAGGACGAAAAGAACAATTTCAATGGTCACGTAAAAGAGAAAAGTACGACCAGCGACAGAAAAAAGGGGCCGAAAGAATGAAGTAAAATAAGGTATATTTAAACGACACGTTTGTCTCTGTATAGCAATCATATCGATTCGACGATTGCACGCAACATGGACGAGACAGAACAAGTAACAGTTAGTAGCTACAGGGTGAGAGTAAGGGTGAGGGTGCTGAGTATAGAAGGTAAGTTTAAAGAGTAAGCAAAGTAAGCAGTTGTTACATTCGTCCACGACAAAGTCATTAACCTGGCATAAATGTAATCACATGGAAACGTCTCAACAAGCACGAAAGACTGGCTAAGAAAGATCATAAAATCAGAACCGGAATCGAACCTGCATCTTCCGATAACCGGTCGAGGGTGATATAGATTAGATCAAGAGGAAAACGGCGTACTTCCGGGTGTGGGCGTGGGTGATTGAAGAAGAATAACCCACACCCACACCCACATTCAGAAAAATTATTCGTTATAAAAAAAAACACGATCTATTCGTATGGCTGCCAAGATCGACAGTCTCTGATTTGGAGTGAGTGTAGGATTTGAGTGTGGATGGGTGGCGGGAGTTTTCTCTTGACTCTCATCTACTGACCCAAAACCTCACTCACACCCACATCCACTCTCTATCATTCTGGAAAAGACAGAATGATAGATCTCAACGAGACGTATGCTTTCGTGTTATTTTTGACGTACTTTAATGCTAAATTATAAAATTGATCGAGATGAGAAATCGACTTGAAATACTTCACCATTCTTTGCAATGGATGAGGATCGGTGGATGGGTGTAGATGTGGATCTTCTCTACACTCTCACTCACTTACCCACCTACCTAAAAGAGGCTTAACAAATAACACGAGGTTGTCAGACTATCAATGCCTCTTTGTCGAATGACGAGACAGAATTTATCCATATAATAACATATAGTTGGCATCAAGATCCTTAAACCAATTTCGATCTTATTTGCTACCATTCGATGGTATGCTGATTTTGGAGGGAGCCTCTTGTGCTCCAAATACAGCATAAGTAACGAATAAAATCTTTTCTATATTATTCTTTTCTAATTTCATCTGAGTAACTAGGTTTGTATGCAATCCTATTCCGCAGCAGACGATGTCATCTATTATTAATGATAAATTTTATCAAATTTATTATGCGAAATGTCACACACTTGTAATTTTCCTGCACATTCAAACTGTGCTTGTGAAAATGCGTTGTGGTCAAGTCTGAGGGCTTGCAGAGCTGGCATGCTGCCCAACCCTTTGACTATGGTGCCACTCACATGGTTGTATTGCATCTCCAATGTTGTCAAATTTCTTAGTGTCACAATTGATTCTGGGAGGGTTCCGCTAAGATTGTTGTAGCCCAAAAACAGATGTTGCAGGTTTACCATTTGGTGTATGGCAGGACTAACAGCACCAGTCAGTTCGTTTTTATAAGCATAAAACTCTTGTAGCTTTGTCATAGAATAAAAGCTATCTGGAATTGTTCCCGATAATTTGTTATTATCAATACGTAAAATGGTCAGATTTTGAAGTTTACCAATACAATCTGGTATTGGACCAGTTAGTTCATTTTCATGTAGATCTAACCATTGAAGATTCGAACAATCGCAGATCGACTGAGGAATAAATCCTAAAATAACCGTAAACATGTTACCATTCCTAGATTTACATCATAGTAAAGATTTAAGCGACGCATCCATAGACTAAACAAAGGATCAAAGACCATGTATTACTTAGAATCGTAAAAGTCTCTAGTTTTTCCATGATCACAAATATTCATTTTTGCATGGATCTTTCCGTTGTCCATCTGTTTTCTCGAAAATCAACTAAAATCCTCTTTGATATACTAACAGAACTTAAGGAAAGATCCTTTTGTTGCCTCTTTTTAATTGATGTTTGGGTATCATGCTTTGCGTTCGCAAAATAATTAGGATTTGAAAAACTGTTGACTTTACAGCAACTATGGAGAAATCCAACAGCTTTATACCACTCTTCTGTAAGAAATGTTTTTTTTTCTTCAATGTTTTTCTGGTAGTTAGGCTGATAGATGTCAGAAGATAGCTTTGATCGAAAATGTAACTCATTTTTGCTTCAAAATATGGAGATCCGATTGAATTTGAGAAATAACTTCATGGAGTTATCTATGGACTTCCAATATTTTTACCGCATATTTTATTCATAAGTGGGGAGCGAGTAGACTAGCACAATCTGCAGTGGATTCCTCTCTTCATGGAGATTTGACAAGGATATACATTGTTTCATTCGAAGATCTTTTCGGAATTTGAAGAAAAAAGTTGGTTTCGAGACGTGTTTTGTTTTCATGAGTCCTAAGCTTTTGAGGATTTCGGAATTTAACTACTGATAAAAAAGTAGGTATCAATCACGCTTAAATAGAACTCTCGAAACTCTAAGAACCTAAGGGTGTGACTGTGGGTGTGTAAATGTAGATGAGAAGTCGATCAACACCTACCAACACACAACAGCCACACACCCACATCATACACTCACACTCTCTATATAATCAACATAGCTCTTCGAGTTTTTCATGTTCTAGCAAATTCTGAACCTACGGCTACTTCGGTTCCTAGAATTCTTTGCGTTCCTCGAGCTGTTTGAGTCCTTTGAGTTCCTGGAGGTTCTTCAGTTCTAAAGTTCTCTGAGTTTCTTGTAATCCATGAGTTCCTGTACTTCATTGAGTTGTTAGAGTTCTACGACTTTCAAGAGTTGCTCGAATTCTTAGAACTTCTTCAGTTCACAGATTGAATTAAGTTACTCAAATTCCGAGAGTACCGTAAGTTCTTGGAGTTCCTTGAGTTTCTCAAGTGACGTGAGTGAAGTTGTACTTTTGAGGGTTCCAGGGAATCAGAACGTATGGAATTCAGCCACTGTTATCGGTTTCATACTATATTTTTCAGAGTGACATATTTGTCAAAAATAGATATTTCGGTGAAATCTCATTGAAGAGGAGGATTTTTCGTGGGCTGTAATTGTCTACTCGTTCCCTACTCATGGACAAAATATGGACCCAAAAGACTAGATATCTATAGATAATACCCTCGAGGTTTTTCTCAAAAATCAACTGGATCTCTATGATTTGAAGTCAATATGAGTTATTTTTTCGGATAAAGCTGTTTTCTGACATCTATCAGTCTAAATAGCAGAAAAAGTCAATAAAAAACATATTTCTTCCAAAAAAGTGATATTTTTTCCATAAATTTACTCAAGTTTAATGCTCTATCAAGTTCATTATGATACGTCCCTTACGAATGGGTGTTGCTTTTACCTTGTAATTTATTCGCTTTTAACCATATGTTTTCTAGCTTCGAGCACTCGCCTATATTTGGTATTAAACTGCCACTAATGCTGTTGAAACTAAGATATAACGTTTTTAATTGCGCCAGATTGCACAATGTTGCAGGCAGTGGCCCATTCAATTCATTGTCGTAAAGCTGAATTTCTCTGACGTAGTTTTGATCATCGCACAACACACCGTGCCATTGACAGTAGTGAACGGTTGATGATAGCCAGTTATCTTGACTTATCCAATCTGGGCCTAATGTGGAATGATAAAAATCGACTAGTACATCACGTTCGCTAGCGGCTTCTATTGCGATCGATGTTGTGAATAAGAAAATAGAGAGCAGAAAAAGCACAATCATACTAATGCCGTCTTTGTTGTTGTCTTTTTTCATTTCTGTCGTCATATATAGATTCATGATTATTTCGATCCAGATGGGTTTATTCTCAGAAGCCGCTTTATGCTTAATGCATTTCGACCTTTTCACTGTAGATTATTGTTGTTAGCCCACATGATTAGCTTGTGTACTCCTCAAACAAGTTCACTTTCGCGTTCTTCTTCGATCACCATTCTGTGTATTGGAAATAAAAAAAACAAGAGAGGTCGAAAACATGAGAGAATACCCAATCAACGAAGCACGCACACAGGCAAACATAAAAAGAGGACAAGCAGATAAAAAACATTTACGCATACAGAATTTAGGTAAGTGTGAATATGGGTATGCGTGTAGGTGTAAGCAATCTCTTCATCTATAGCAACACTCACAATTAAATCTACTCACATCCATGCTCTCTCGATGGACATTTCCTAAAAGTACTCGAAAAAGAAGAGTGAGGCTGAAAATGAGTGAGTATGTGTAGACTATGTCTGTCATCAAAATCAATTATATACAGGATGGGGCAAAAGTTACCGGGCAGTCTTTAATTTCGAATAACTTCTGATAGGATCAAAATATAAAGCTGTGGCTTTCACCATTCGAAAGAGGTTCTGTTGCTTCGTAGTTCCAAATACTATTCAACAGTACTGCTTGTTGCCATGGTAATCAGTCAGTGATCTTTGATAAAATATTGGTAGCTCTATGAAAATTACATCGAAGATCAATTCTAAAAGGTACGTTAAAATCGTTCACCTATGAATCACGCTCGTTATTGTCGTTATTTAGTGTTGCATATAAAACTCTCTATTGGAAGAAGATAATAGATTCAGTCGTTGGCGTTAGCATAAATCGTGAGTACACGAATCGAAGCCGCTTCGTTGAATTGAACTTCTATGTCTTTTTCGTGGAGTTAACAAAATCTTGCTAAGGATCACTAACTGATTATTAGGTCAGCAATCTGTATTGTTGAATAATACATAGAACTTCGTAGTAACAGACCCTGTTTTGAATGGTGAAAGCCGCAACTCTTTGTCTTGATCCTATCAAAAGTTATTCGAAATTAAAGACTGCTTAATGACTTTTGGCCCACCCACTACAGATGTTATCAGGTGACTTTAGTACTCTGTATTTGCAATTCAACGAAAAAAATTGAAGGTAATAACTTCCAAACACTTATGTAAAAGAACAAGCCACGATCGGTTTCGACGTTTTTCAAGGCTCGCATCAGGTAGCTATAGCTCTGCATTGTTCTGTGAAGATCGAATTGAGAGATATCGAAATATCTCGCAATCGAAGAAATAATTCATCGAAATTTTTTTATAAACAATTAAAATGATAAAATAATTCAATTTTTATTCAATTGATCAATAAATAAATTTCTCGAGTTTCACAAGAAAATGTTCGATTCAAAATTAATATTTTGAATATAATTCAATTTGAATGAAATTATTTATAAACAAATCATTTATAATCACATCAGAATTCTCTTGATTGATTCGACACATTAAATTCTTTTTATTTTTTATTTTTTGTAACTATGAATAGATTTTTTCTAAGATTAAGCAAGTTCTAAAGTTATTGATGAAATCATCAATGAAATTAAATCAAGATATCGATATTTTAATATTTATGATTCGAATATTTTAAAAGCAAGAATAATGTCTTTATCTCTCTTACATTTAAAAATTGGATCATCTAAATTAATTGAAACAAACAAATAATTACTGTAGTAGAAACTGTTATCTAAAAGAAACGATACCCCAGGTCAAAGAATCCGACAATAAGATCTTGTCCGATTTCCACAAGATCAGACACGATCTTATTGTAAGATCTTATACTATCGTATAAGATCATATAAAATTCGCATACGATCTTGTACGATTTTATATGACAATCTTAAAGCCTGCATTTCTGATCATATCATACTGTAAGATTCTTATATGATCTTATTCTATGATCTTGTAAGATCTTGTATGATTCATACAAGATTCCAATCGACTATCGTATGAATTGCGTACTGATTTTCTTGCACCTTGTGTCCCTTTCTTTTGGTTCCTTACTGAACTGTTTTACTTTTATTATGAATGCGTTTTATTCATATAGGAATATGAAAGAACATATATGTATAAAAAAGAGCTACAAAGTTTCAATCATACATATATAATTACATTAATTACAAGTAATTATAAAACCTCATCTAGCATATATACGTATACAACACAAACTACAAAAAACCTCTTGTTATTCATCGTCTTCAATTAATGAATCATCAGCATATTGATGATTAAGTTGTACTCCATCTATATTAGCATGAACAGCTGGTAAAATCGGCTGTTATTGAGCTTGATTTTGTTGTTGTGAATCACGTATGTACTGTCGACGTACGTCACAAAGCATTTGTGTTAAAGTTCGACGTAAACACAAGGTAAAAAATTCATGCCAATGTGATTCACTGATTCTGAATCGAGCACGTACGGCTTCTAAAATAAAACAAGAAAAAGAATATAACTGAATGGTGTAGATTATTCAGATTTATCGTAAAAATTAACGAAAGCCTGTACAAAAATGAGAGAAAAGTAATGAATTTTCGTCTACTCTTAAAGGTATTTCTTAATTATCAATGGAAATCATTGAAAAAAACAACTTATCTGCTTTTTACTTAAGTTTAAAAGAACTTGTTACCTTTGAATTTACGCATACGAACTGGATCAAGACCAGGTTTAGCATATGTTGGATTCGCATAAAGAATTGATTCACTCATTTCAGCTGGAGTAAACAAAATTTTCATGACCTGTCGAGCAAATGCACCACAATCACCACCATCATAAATGTCCAATAAATTTTTGCCTTTATAAGTCTTAGCACATTAAAAGCAAAAGAACATATTTAAAAAAACAAAAATTTCACTTACAACTGCAGGAAGAAATGTTTCACCATCGCATCGAAACTTTTCCAAATTAGAATACATCTACAAGAAAACAGATAAGTTAACAATCGTATGCTTGGAAAAAAGCATTAACTTAACTGTTGTTTGTTGAACGTTTTTGGAAAGCGCTGTAAAACGTTTTTCCAATTTATCATGATGATTTTCAATATCTTTGGTCAATTTCGAAATAGCATTGGAAAAATCTAAGAACAAATTTTTATTTTAATCAAAACATTTTGACGAAAATGACAGGTAGGAAAGACGATGGTAAGAACCGATACTAAATTATATGTGTGTTGCGTTCAACATAGAATAAACTTTGTTTTAAATATTGGTTTAAATTCATCTTTGCAGGACGAATATAGTTAAATTTACTTTCTTATACAATCAACAAAACTTCTCTCACAATACCTGTACGTAATTGATTAAATTCTGATCGAAAAGTCTTCTCTTGATTTGTAGCTTGTTGAAACACGATTTTTCGTGAACTATTAGCACCAATTGATACTAAAATAAAAAATTGTATTACAAATATATAAAGAATAATTTATCATGAGTGCATTTTAGGCTAACTTGATCTCAAGAATTGATTAAAATTTATGATAAAAAATTCACGAGGTCTCTTTTGATGACATATCAATTAGACTTAAATATAGGAGTCGATCATTTTGATGTACATATTTTTCGAATACATATAAGCGACTAAACCAGACTAACTTACTAAATATAATAAAGCCTTCTAACGGATGAAATATGTCCTTGAAAAACTCAGTTATCAGAAGATATTTTTCTGACAGCCATATTAATGAAATTTGAGTGATGAAAAACATTGTACACCTACCTATTTTTTATCGAGAAATTTTCAATAGGTTGCGAGTTTTTAAAAGGTTCTTTACTTCAGAACTTTTTAAGAAATTCATTAAAAAATATTTTGAAAGATAAAAATCACGATAGAGATATATAATTTCTTACATTCATCATTTCGTCGATGTTCTTTGTGTTTCCGGTTGAGATCAGTATTATAACCACCAACAGTATCATTGTCGTCGATCTCATCTTCTGCTTCAATTTGTTCTTCAATCATCACATGTTCAACAAATTCTTCTTCTTCTTCATCTTCTCCTTCACCTTCATCAGTACCATCACGATCCTGTTCGTTTTCACTATCTATGTAATAAGAAAAAACAAAAGATATACTAAATTTCATATCACAATGTTTTTCTTATACTTTGACATTCTTCTTCTTCGTCATCATCGAAATTCTTGGAATTTGACATTTTACTATTTCCCAATATAGCACATCTTTTGTTTGACTTTTTAGTTGAATCACGTGCTCGACGACGATAAGGTGCAAATCGTTCTATAATAGAAGAGAAGATTCAATATAAACTCTGTCAATTTAACAGACACTAAAAGCTACTAGTGGTTATCAATATTTCTGTTAGATAGAAAGAGGAAATGCATCTGTTCTCCATTATTAAAAGAATTGGAATAGCCAGAAAAACATAGGTTGTTTAACTGACCAAGTATATATTATGCTATTATACGTGCCTTGAGTAGAATGTTGTTCTCGATTTTCAGAAGCAATCTGTACGACCATAGTCGATGACGATGAAGGAAGATCCCCAGGTCCAAAAATCCGACGACGGATCCTATCGGATCCGATCGGACCCGAAAACCGACAAAAATCCGATCGGAATCCGGGTTACAGAATTCCGATCGGATCCGACAATCGGATACTCATACGTTTCCGATAATTTCCGATTGCCGAAATCCCCATTTATTCCGACGGTCGGATACCGATCGGATTTCTATAGGATTATATCAATCTTTCAACCGAGGTCCAAAAAATCCGACAAAAATCCGATCGGAATCCGGCTTGCAGAATTTCGATCGGATCCGACAATCGCATACTCATACGCTTCCGATAACTTCCGATTGTTGAAATCCCCATTTATTCCGACGGTCAGATACCGATCGGATTTCTATAGGATTCCATCAATCTTTGAATCTGTGGTCGATTTTATTTATTATGATAATGTTTGGAATCTAAATTTTACCTTATGTGAGCCGGAAAGTTTCATGATTTATAGCCACTGAAACGTAGTGTGTTTAATATAGGTTTTGGATTAAGGTGCAGCAGAATAGTTATTTTTTCTAGTATATAATGCCTTGATCAAGGAACTTATAAAATGCGGCTACCCGCGAGAAAGCTTGTTGACCTGATAACAACAAACTGTCTGTTTTCAACATGAGCACACAGGTTTCTATGAAGTACGAACTAAAAGAAGTGCTGAAGTACAGAAGTAGTAAGTTCGATTCTATGTTTCTGCCCAATTGACCAAAATATACACTAAAACAACATGTCGTTATCCGTTGTGACAAAAATCGTTTCAAACGTAGAATCTTTTCAGTATATTCATAAATTCATAAAACAGAAAATTTTTAGTTTCGAAACTGTTTAAAAAGGTCTGAATATGACATTGAATTCAGTTAAATTATTTCATTTCTCGAAATGGCAACAAATGTATACGTAGATATCTCCATTCGAGCTTAGCACTGATATAAGTTACTATCCTATTGGATCACATCGGATTTTGAAAATTCACTTCTGGAAATGAGCAAATATGCCTACCTTCATATCTCGCTTGGAGCTTATCATTAATATAAGTTTCTACCATTTGGATCCGATGGGGATTTTGAAAACTGAGTTCTGGAAATGGCAAAAATGTACATCTACGTATCTCCATTCGAGCTTAGCACTGCTATAAGCTTCTATCCTATAGAATCCGATCGGATTTTGAAAATTGAGTTTTCGAAATGCCGAAAAATCCAAACTTCCATATCACCATTGGACTTTATCTTTGATATAGGTTTCTACCCTATAGGATCCGATCGGACTTTGAAAATTCAGATCTGGAAATGGCCAAAAAGGCGTACCTATATATTTCAATTGGAGCTTAGCATTAATATAAGTTTCTACCCTATAGGATCCGATCAGATTTTGAAAATTAAGTTCTCGAAGTGATCAAAAAGCCATACCTACATATAACTATTAAAGCTAAGCATTCATACAAGTATCTATCCTATAGGATCCTATCGGATTTTGAAAATTGAGTCCTGGAAGTGATGAAAAAGGCATATCCACATATCTCTATTGGAGCTTACCATTGATATAAGCTTCTATCCTATAGGATCCTATCGGATTTTGAAAATTGAGTCCTGGAAGTGACGAAAAAGGCATATCCACATATCTCTATTGGAGCTTACCATTGACATAAGCTTCTATCCTATAGGATCCGATAGGATTTTGAAAATTGAATCCTGGAAGTGATGAAAAAGGCATACCCATATATTTCCATTGGAGCTTACCATTCATATAAGCTTGTATCCTATAGTATCCGATCGGATTTTGAAAATTAAATCCGAAAGCGGTCAAAAGGCATACCTACATATAACTATTAAAGCTAAGCATTCATATAAGTATGTATCCTATAGGATCCGACCGGATTTTGAAAATTCAGTTCTGGAACTGGACAAAAAGGCGTACCTATATATTTCAATTGGAGCTTAGCATTAATGTAAGCTTCTATCCTATAGGATCCGATCGGATTTTGGAAATTCAGTTCTGGAACTAGCTAAAAAGGCATACCTATCTATCTGTATTCCAGCTTGCCATTCATATAAGTTTCTATCCTATAGAATCCACTCGGATTTTGAAAATTGAGTTTTCGAAATGCCGAAAAATCCAAACTGCCATATCACCATTGGACTTTATCATTGATATAGGTTTCTACCCTATAGGATCTCATCGGATTTTGAAAATGCCCAAAAAGGCGTACCTATATATTTCAATTGAAGCTTAGCATTAATGTAAGTTTCTATCCTATAGGATCCGATCGGACACTGAGAACTGAGTTCTGAAATGGCCCAAAAGCCATACCTACATACTTCTCTTCAAGGTTAGCATTCATATAAGTTTCTATCCTATAGGATCCGATCGGATTTTGAAAATTGAGTTTTCGAAATGCCGAAAAATCCAAACTTATATATCACCATTGGAATTTACCATTGATATAACTTTCTATCCTATAGGATCCTATCGGATTTTGAAAATTGAGTTCTGGAAATGGCTAAAAAGGCATACTTATGTATCTCCATTAGAGCGTAGCATTAATATAAGTTTCTACCCTATAGGATCCGATCAGATTTTGAAAATTAAGTTCTCGAAGTGATCAAAAAGCCATACCTACATATAACTATTAAAGCTAAGCATCGATGTAAGTATCTATCCTACAGGATCCGATTGGATTCTGAAAACTGAGTTCTGCAAATGGCCGAAAAAGTATTCTATCCTGTAGGATCCTATCGGATTTTGAAAATTGAGTCCTGGAAGTGATGAAAAAGGCATATCCACATATCTCTATTGGAGCTTACCATTGATATAAGCTTCTATCCTATAGGATCCGATAGGATTTTGAAAATTAAGTCTGGAAGTGGTCAAAAGGCATACCTAATATAACTATTAAAGCTAAGCATTGATGTAAGTATGTATCCTATAGGATCCGATCGGATTTTGAAAATTGAATCCTGGAAGTGATGAAAAAGGCATACCCATATATTTCCATTGGAGCTTACCATTCGTATAAGCTTGTGTCCTATAGGATCCGCTCGGATTTTGAAAATTAAATCTGGAAGTGGTCAAAAGGCGTACCTACATAGAACTATTAAAGCTAAGCATTCATATAAGTATGTATCTTATAGGATCCGACCGAATTTTGAAAATTCAGTTTTGGAAATGGCCAAAAAAGCGTACCTATATATTTCAATTGAAGCTTAGCATTAACGTAAGCTTCTATCCTATAGGATCCGACCGGATTCTGAAAATTGACCTCTGGAAAAGCCAAAAAGGCATACCTATATATCTGTATTTCAGCTTACCATTCATATTAGTTTCTATCCTGTAGGATCCGACCGGATTTTGAAAAGTGAATTCTGGAAATGGTCCAAAAGCCATACCTACATACTTCTCTTCAAGGTTAGCATTGATATAAGTTTCTGTTCCATAGGATCCGATCGGATTCTGAAAATTGACTTCTGGAAAAGGCCAAAAAGGCATACCTACATACTTCTATTCAAGGTTAGCATTGATATAAGTTTCTATCCTATAGGATCCGATCGGATTTTGAAAAGTAAGTGCTGAAAATGCCGAAAATGGCATACTTATATATCTCTATTAGAGCTTACCATTGATATAAGTTTCTATCCTATAGAATCGGATCGGATTTTAAAAATTCACTTCTGGAAATGGCCCAAAATTCATACCTACATATCTGCATTGAAACTTATCATTGATATAACTTTCTATCCTATAGGATCCGATCGGATTTTGAAAACTGAGTTCTAGAAATTGTCAAAAGTGTGTCTCTACATATCTCGCTTGGAGCTCATTGTTGATATAAATTTTTGTCCGATCAGATCCAATGAGATTTTGAAAATTGAATTCTGGAAATAGTCAAAAATACATACCACTATGTCGCGATTGAAGGCCATCGTTGATATAAGTTTTTATCTTATCGGATCTGATGGGATTTTGAAAATTGAGTTCTGGAAATGGCGAATAATGCATGCTTCTATCTCACATTGTGGCTTAGCATTGATATAATTTTCTATCCTATGGGATCCGATGGGATGGTGAAAATTGAGTTCAGAGAATGGCGAAAAATGCATATTTGTATTTCACATTGTAGCTTAGCATTGACATAATTTTCTATCCTATCGGATCCAATGGGATTTTGAAAATTGAGTTCTGGAAATGGCGAAAAATGCATGCTTCTATCTCACACTCTAGCTTAGCATTGACATAATTTTCTATCCTATCGGATCCGATCGGATTTTGAAAATTGAGTTCTGGAAA